ATTACACTCTCGTAATAGAAGACTGCAATATTAACATACAGGCTTTTTCTGAAAATGACAAAACAATGATTTGATCTAATTTTTTATGTTAAATGAAACATGATAAGAGAGGATAGTTTTGTTGAAATAGTGAACAGCTTACAACAGGCTCATGGTGAATTTGACCAGCAAAGTAGACTTTATGGGCTGGTTGTTTACACGAGGTCTAACCCAAACTGCAGTTTTACGCTAGCAGTGGGCCTTACGTATTCTTTATAAGAGGGTTAAGTTGTTTCCACGAAATAAATGTCCTTCCACTGTGAGCTTTCGGCCCTCTTGACATTGTTCACTAAGATAAATGTTCAGATAAAGATTCAGCTATATTCAAGATAATTTATAACGCGGTTTTGTTAAACAACGGCAAAAATTTGAAATTTAAACAACCGGCCCTCTGCCATTGTGAAAGCGGCCTACAAAGTATGTTCAGGTGCTGTGGTGACTCACTTTTTCAGAGAGTGAAGTTTAAATTCCCTTTATTAAAGTTACATTAATCTGTTAAGTAACAGAGAATGTGGCTACTCTTCCTTTGGTAGGTTTTGCAACCTCCTGGAAATGACTTTTTTATATTTCTGGTTATTCCATGTGTTTCCAAGGCGACGACTTTTACGCATTGTTAGGAACCATTTTCGAAAATGTATATTATTTTCTCCGCCGACTGTGCTAAAAATTTGCTTAAACCGGAATATTGTTATACATTTTTTTGCTCCTTTACTCTTATTAGATAGATCTGAATAGTTATATTTGTAGCTTTCGCTTTTAATCCGTGTGTAGTGTTACAATAACGTGCAAGAAAAAGGGAAATCGCACTAACGATCACATTATAATCACGATCACAATCACGTTAAAGAACTGTTTTGCAAACCAAAACAGCTACACGAAGGTAAAACTATCTCCAAAATGTCAAAGCACGTGTAATTCCCTAGAGATTGTCACGTTACACGCAACGCAACGTAAACCGGAAATGAAACGAGGAAAATGTGGAGTCAGATGCCTATAGCCTTTTACGGCAGAAGTGCAGGTGTCTACTAAAAAATACATTGTAAGAGACGTGCACACTGATCTGACGATTTGAAAACTCGTTCCAAAGGACGACTGGCGCATAGAACACGAGAAAAGAATTGAACCTTCATTTGCCTTAACGATCCGTTGCTGTTGTGGTGAGTTCTGGCAAAGTAATCCATAATGAGCAGAATACAGCTGGTGGAAATATTAGCATCAGAGAAATAAAAGTTTGTCTCTTTGTGGAAAGAATAAAGTTTTTGAATCTTTCGGCCATAACGTTGACTTGGAATGCGCTGGGTATCTTCATGGTCTTTATTATTAGTATGGAGATGATTGTTACAAGAACCAAGGGCCACCAGCAGTGACGCAAAGCGTACGTAAAGTTCGTAGGCTTGCTTAAGGATAAAATGGAAGAGGCAAAAACACAATGCGATTGATAACAGAAGGATAGAACTTAACTAGCGATTAGCTACTTTGACAAGGGAAGTGTTCTGTACTTTAAAAAGGATGAAGTTGCAAATGGTTAGTAGAAGGAATCCAACTGTGGTTAACAGAACGATAAGAACAGACGCGGGGCTTGACCACATGACTTCTACTTCAGGACGATCCGAGCGTTTTGACCTCCGTTCATTGGGCTTTTGTCCTCGGGGACACACGGTGTAGTTCATATCATTCACTCCAGTGCTAACGGTTCCATTTGTGGCAAGTCCGACAGCAATAGGTCGTCAGCAACTGATATCCACCAGCAAGGCAATCGCCATGGCAGAATGACTTTGGAATTACACTGTGACCTGCTGCAGTCTTCCACTTTATCCTGGAAACGTTTAACTGAATTTTCTTTCGACTTTCGTCCCACGATCCGATGGCTAATTTTATTAAATCGGAGTTTTCATTCATCTGAAAATGTACAATATCATAAGAAGATAGTAAGGGTCTCCAAGCTGATCAAATTGAATTTCCCCGGTTACTCGTTTAGAGGCGACATGTTTCTCGAGTTTTTCTTCAGATTGCTTATTGGATGGATTTCACTCATGTTGTGAAGAGGACGGGCAACAGCAAAAACGGCATCGACCAAATAGGGAATGTACGGCTTGTACACCGAACGAATTATTGTCTCATAGGAAGATAAATTATCTTTTTGCTTCCAAAGTTCCTTCCACCAAGGCGCTTTCCTTTTCAGAAGATTTGATCGATTTCTTGATCACGAAATCTTTGAAATCTGGAACATAAAATGTCCGAAGTTCAGTACTCAGCGAGCCATGGACAATTTCTTTGAAGTCCTTTCCAGGTGTGAAATTCTCGCTGAAAATCAATGTGTGGTCGAACATTTTTTGTTTTGCTGCTTCTTGAAGAAATCGTCCGATTCATAATCTCCTAGTAGCCAAACCACCACAACACGAATATTTAGTGGCGTTGAAACTTCTTTCCAGCTCTTTCTAGCTTTGTCATGTACTTTTGACTAGGTATGTAATTCGCAAAAAAAAAGTCAAAATGTCCGCCTTTTCGCTCCTCAGCTTCCAAGGTCTGAATCACACTGTAGAAGAAGTCGTCTGTTGCCAAAGCAGCCACATAGCTCATTTAGTCTGACGTTTTGTAATTCTAGGGCAATTTAATTTTTGCAGACGAAATCAAAAGTGTGTCAGTCATTGCCTTTACAGTGCTTCTACAGTAGTTCCATACACCATATTCAAGAGTTTTGTGTTGAAGCAGGTGTGGGTCTGTTGATTTCACCAATGGCGAACTTCAAAGCCGGTCACAACGCTAAGAGCCATTGGTAAAAAAGCATCGCATTCGCCATCATTATTGGTGTTTTGAAGTGCAGTCAGTGCTCCAAGTGTGATGTCGCGAGGCTGATTATATCGGACGACTATTTAAAGGTATTTATGGGTATACAAGCATTTTAAGACCTTCACTCGAAACATTAGCTTTAGAAACTCTTTACGCTGGCTAATCTTCAATGCATTAGATAAACCGAAGTTCCTGTAACACCCCCACCGATTCTAGACTAAGGTAACAACTTTTATTCGAGAAGTATGAATATTCTCAGCACCTTTTCACTGAAAAATGTATGATGGTGATCACAGGTTAAAAACTAACGATTTGTTGACCGTATTATCTAACTTGACTAAGCTTGCGACTAGTTATTTAAAGCAATTGTTTCCGTCTCAGTCAAAACAAAGCAGAAAATTTTTGTTCACAATAACTTCCTTTTTGTCTTTGCTCCTGATTTTTACGACGACGCGCTGATGCGCTTTCATTTCAACAGGCTTACTTACCCGCCGAGCTTCTTACGCGTCGTCAATTATTTAATTCGTTACAAGTCCCCTGCTCCTTCAACTATCATGATCGCAAAGGACTCGGGTTGAAAGTAAAGCAAAATGGCCGCTGTCAGTCGAAGAAGAAAGACCTTGCATTGTTAATTGACGTTCTTTCCGCGCTTTTCCCGCGTTTATTTGTCGCAGTAATGGATGCAAATGTCAAGATTTCCATCCCCTCGTGGTCTTACACTCCTGTGAAGCGCATGTTTCCTCCTGATCATCCATTCTTCGAGGTAAGCTTCCAACGGTTATTACAATAATGCAGATTAATGGCAGTTAATAATAACAATAATGATTATAAAAAAATCTTTAAAACTACTTTATGTAGCACCTTAAATACTTGATGTACTGGTATCCTTTATAGACGAATGCGTATTAATACAGAATTGTTGTTAAGTTTACACGCTTTTGCGAAATGTTTAATCGTTTTGATAAGTTTGGCGCAGCATAAAATTTGCCCATCAATCACGCAGACCATCAAAAATGTTTTTCTCTCTCTCTATTTTGAACAGTCTAGTTGGCTATTAGAACAAGACTATTTTTTATTTAATCTCTCCTTGTTGTGGTTGCTATAAAACATTTCTCAATATGATAAATTACCGTCTTCAATGAAACACTAAGTTACTTTGAATTACCGTCATTTTGTTCACAGGAAGGAGAATTATTTTGCAATGTTTTAAAGAAAGAGCTGGATAATAGCGAAGAAGTTGATACTCTCATGCAAAGGTAGGTCTCAAGACATATAACTGGGTTTTGTTACGGAGTTACACTACTTTAGTCTTTGGTAGTGTAATAAATGGTTTATAAAGTAATACCTCAAGCTGAACCTGTAACAGGCTGATGTGAGGCTGCATCTTGCACTGACCTTTCTTGCAATGAATTATTATCTCTCCTGTTCTCTTTAGCTTTTGGCTCCTCTTTTCAGGGCATCTACTTACCAGTGCTTTCAATAAGATTTGAAGAAGGTGGGTACCTTGGTAAAGCACCTGCTAGGGATTATAGCATAAAAAACATTTCTTTCTTGTAATCCCATTATTTCCATTTGGAATAAACTGGCTTCAATCAGAGTTTTTGGTGTTAAACTTCTGTAGGTGATCATTAAATATTTGTCTCCTTTATTACATGATATTGTTTAACTTATTGTTTTATTTTTGACCAAAATCTTCTGCTTGCTGACATGCAAGCCTGCTCCCTTGTTGAGTTTCACCCAAAAAGTCCTTTAAAATGACATATGAGCCTAATGGTTACAGAAATTTAAGTCAGTATGTTCTTGGAAACTCAAATTTTTTTTTGTTGGAAATGTATGTTGGAACATATGATTAGACAATAACAATCATTTTCATTAAAACTTGTCTGCAAAGGTAAAAGTCAACTGAAAGAACTCTAGAAGATCTCAAGATGTTTTAGGTCTCGCTTCGTAAGTTTGCTTGAAAGCTTCTAAAGTATACCCAGAAATTCATGACAGAATACCCATCAGAGCTCTAGCAGGTGCATGGTCTTATTGAAAGCACTGACTTACATAGAAAACTCTTCAGGCTCACTTGCCTGCAGTGCTAATCCAAAATGTTGGGATTATGAATAGTTGCTTTCTACTACTACAACAACTACTAGTACTACTACTTCTAGATGCTGTTATGTATTATTGTACAGATATATTTCTCAGAATGTGTGCTATGATTGGTCAATCAATTGGCCACATTTTATTGCATGGCATGCTAAATTGAAATGTTTGTTGGAATTGAAATCATTTCCCTCTATTTGGACTTAGTCTGTGCTGTTAGTTTGACTCGACCTCATTTTTTGGGCTCCCACTTATGGCCTGTGCACTTTATGCTTGGGCCATAAAAGCCAATGGAAAAAACTTGGTTCATGACTCTCAGTAGAGACCTCGAACTCTGGTAGTAAGAGGTATTTATACCTAAATTTACTTTTTAGGATTTACTTAATCCATATTCATTTAAAGAGGAGCATTTTTAGCTTAGCCTAATAGATTGGTAATTAATTTGCATTTACATGTAACTTTTGCTATTACTAATAGAGCTGAATTCCAATGTGACATTCCTGGTTGTGGAGAATGGTTTTCTAGTGTTCCAAGGTATTAATTAAACTACTTCTAAATATTAAGATATTTTGAATTTTAGTAAATGAAGTGAGAAATTGGTTTTGTCTGAAATTTGATTAGCTTAGAGACTGGTACAAGTTTTCTAGGCCTGAATCACAGAGTAAGGTGAAGCAAAACCAGCCAATCCAGGATTGCTTTTGTCACTCCATTTAAAATAGCTCTAATATCAGATTTTTTAAAACTGAACAATAACACAATGAAAATTGATTATTTTATTTGTTTTCCCTGTGTTTGTACTATATTTAATGTGAGACTCAAAGATTATAGTGACATCATTGAATCTTTATCATTTTCAATCTCTGTAGCTATGAGGCACACTATAACAGCCTGCATCGTCACTGTTGTCAAAAATGTCAGCGCTCTTTTCCATCAACTCACCTGTTGGAGATTCACATTCTAGAAAACCATGACATGCTATTCAACATGATAGCCATGAGGAAAAACTTGGTAAATAGTTGTTTCTATTAATGTTATTAATCAGTATGGGCATAGACTTGTTTAGGTGGGGTGGCATATGTGATGAAGACTTGAGAGAGAGACTATAGCAAATGGGTGAGATACTCCCTCTGAGATTGTGTTTGCATGGTGAAGCCTATTTAAAATGATAAATGCCAAGTCACTGATGTGGCCTTGTCCTAGAGTGAGACAGACACGTATGGGGTTGTGAATCAGAAAGACTGAATGTGGTTTTATCAAGATACAGAGACAGTTACATTTGCAGCCAACAATACATATTGCATTGTACCTAGGTGAAAAGAGAGAGTGAAAAAAAAAAGAAATGTAATTGGTTACACGTATTCAAGATCATGACCTTTGTTTTGAAACTTTTTTTTTCTGGTACTTTGTAGTTTAAGTGCCTAGTGGAGAGTTGTCCTGATAGATTTTCAAGTGACGAGGAGAGGAAGGTAGGAGCTTGTTAACAAATCATCATTTAGTATGTGCTTTCAGTGAAGTAGAATGCTTTTCTGTTTTTATTGATCAGATGATAATTAGAATTATCATCACTATCAGTATTAAAATAATGGTAATTCTTTTTTTTTACTCATAAGGATCATCTAGTATCTCTTCACAAGTATCCATCAGACTTCAGATTCAACCGTCCAAGCAGACAACAGCGAAAAAGCAAAAGGTTTGAAAATTCTTTTGATCTGCAACCAATGCTTTAATGGAAACACAGTTCCTTTAAGTAAGCATTTGATTCTAGAATTTACAAACTAGTTTCGACCTCCTTAACTTAACATGGTCACAACAAACAGCTTCACTTGTACAAGGTAGGTATGTTGTTGTCAAGAGCAAACCACATATTGTCAGGTAAATTATCCCCAAATAATCTGCCAGATCTTGGAGGATGAGCTCTTGTGTAGGATGTTGCCTAATACTCATTGAAATTTCAACACGGAATTATCATCTCAGGTTTATGTGATTATTTGATAATTTTACATGTATGTTTCTTTCTAAGCACTGAAATTTTCCCCTCAAATAATCTTACCATCATCAATTTTCCTTTTTTCTTTTTTCTCCTGTGGAGATCTTAACATTGATCCTGCTCCAAAAGTTTCTTTAGTTAGTCTTAAGAAGATAACCAGTGAACTTAGTTCTCAGACCATGCTGGACATTTTTTGTTTTGTGTATCACCTTGCATTTGTAAATTAGTACAAGGCAGTCAGTAGAAAGGAAATTAAATAAATACAACCATCAGCGATCGTGGAAGTAAATCTTTGATTCCCCCTCTTTTACTGAAAGATTTCACTCACAGTTCAGAAGACTGTGAGATGTGGGAGACTCTCACTTAAATGAAGGGGAGTTGGCATAAATGTTTAGTTTAGCCATGCTCTCTTATGGGTATTGTGGTGAAGTTGATGAAGGGTTCACTTTTTTGCTTATTTGCAGTATGCAAACTTCGCCCGAAGCAATGGACACATCAACCCTACCTCAGGTTAAGAAATGAGTGAAATTGAATTTAATTTCAGTTAATATTATTCTGCATTACTCTTTTGCAAAATGATTAGTTTCACACAAGTTATGGGGATTTACTGAAGATGTTCAAGCAATTATATCCTTTCAAGGTTCTTAATGCATTTGTTTTGCCACTTACAGACTGAAATATTACTGATCTACATTGTACATATGTATTTTATTTGATAGCATCATAAAAAATGAACTTATAATAGTTATCCATACTTGTCAAGTATGCCGTAATTCTAACGATATCTAATCAGTTTCTATTAGAATGTTAGCTTTGACTTCTTATGTGGTTTAATATTTGTCAATTTAGAAACTGCACTCTCTTTTGTAGGAACCTGCACCCTCTTTCAACACAGCACCAAAACAAAGGTTAATGAACATTTTATGATTACCTTTAAATTAAAGAATAAATTTTAAAAGGGTCAAAAGCTGTTTAGTGGTAATTATTATTTTTTTCAACAGTATAGTTCCAGCATCTGTACATGCATTTAAGACCTTTTGACGTGATGTTATCACAAATTTTAGTTTTAATGTGAATAAGATTTAGGTACAGGTCATGTACCTTTATTAATTGTTAGATTTAGCTTAGCCTGTGTTGTTGATCTGCATTATACTGGTGTCAATTATGTAACCAACTTCTTGGAAAACAATGAATTCAAAAGATTATGTCATGTGTTGTAATTGAAAAGATAAGCATTTAATTTCTCCCAACCATATCCATAGATTGTCTAGCAAACATATAAAGGGGTAAGTTTCTAAAGAAACTGTGGTGCTGCGTTGGTGGGAGAGTATAGCAGGTAATTTAGTGTTAACAACTGGGTTGAAAACATAAATTAGCCACTGTAAAGGGTAAAAAAGCTGACGTTTCGAGCGTTAGCCCTTCGTCAGAGCGATTCCTAATCGCGATTCCTAATCGCTCTGACGAAGGACTAACGCTCGAAACGTCAGCTTTTTTACCCTTTACAGTGGCTAATTTACGTTTTCAACCCAGTTGTTAACACTAAATTACCTGTCTAGCAAACAGGTAATGAGAATACATCTACTCAAACTTAGTAGAAGTTATCTTGATCTGACACCAACTAATTTACAAGGAAAAGTGGAGCAGCTAGAGGGGAGAATTTAAAATCAGTTCTTGGGACTTTAAAGGTTAACCAGTATTGCTAGATTTAAAATTGTCACATACATAGTAACCTGCACCTCCCCACTACCTGCAGCAACAGTTGTTTACTGTCAAATTAAAAGATTACTTACAGGTAATAAGTCAGAAATTTCGGTGAGTGTGATCTTGAGCCACAGGGTTTGCAGGTTATTGAAAGAAGTTACTGTATGTACACATGTTGTAATTTAGTGTGTAACATAGATTGAGCATGGTTGTTCTTGTTTTCACCCCAGGCTACCAAAGACAATATGCTTTGGCAGAGGGTCCAGCAGGGCTTTCCAAAAAAGTATCCCAAAAAATAGCAAGAAAAAGTCCAAAAACTTGGATGATATACAAGACCAAGCTGCTTCTCAAGAGGTAGTTAAAAACAGTAAAATCAATTGCAATCAAGCTTGTTGCATCTAATTTACTTTATAATTACATTCGACATTCAAACCTCATAAACACTGAGTGAACTTGTACTGCAGCATAATTGTTGTGCAGCTGCATGCATACTCTGTCCATGATGCATTGAGTTACAAATGATTTGGTAAATCTTCACTTTTGCTAAATGCCTTCCTTATGAAGTCAGAGTAACTGATCTTTAAAAATTTCAGAGGGAAAATAACTAGTCTACTTCTTTTCTTTCTGGAAGAATTCAAAGAATTCCTTGTTCTAAATACACTATGACTAAATTACCACTGTAAATTGGCTTTCATCCTAATTAATTTGTAAAGCTATTTCCCGATATTATGGTCAAACCAGGGTAATGTACAATCTTGTTGTATTTTGCAGGTTACAATGGCTGAAGTGAGCTGACTCATGTAAACAGTTCCTTCTGAATTAAGATAGCATGTTTATGATAACTTCTCTTCGAAGTCAAATTTATGTTTAAATGTACAGTTTTTGTCAGAAATTTATAATAAAATATTAC